TAAAATAAAGTTAATTTCATAGACTAAAAGTACTTAATTATGAAAGAGATAGTCTCTAAGTTTCCTCTAAATAGGAAATGTATCTAGTTTCTTTAAAACATGAAACATAGTCGACTTCTTTGGCTTGTTTAAGCCTAATTTTAGAAAAATTCAAAGTTATTATGCACAAACGTATACTAAAAATGTGTGCTAAGCCCAACTGTGTAGCAATTAGTAGTTCAAATTAATGTTAAACATTTTTTACATTTTTCTTTGTACATTTTCAAATGTTCAGTGTTTCCTTTTTTTTTTTTCTTTAACCCCACAATATCTTCGTCTCTGTGACAGCGGAGCACACGCTAAGACCCAACAGGAGAGAGAACAATAGGTTCATCTCTCTTCAGCCTTGTGATGGGTGAGCTTTTTACATTTAAAACAAAAGAATTGAATGTTTAAAGTATTTTCATTTTCTCTCACAACATTCCTTAGTTTAAGAAGAAAATGAAATGGAAAAGGAGATGAGAAATATATTTGTAATAGACAAAAAAGCAGTTGTTCTTCCCAGTGTGTGAGAATGTTCCATTCCTTCCCTCATAGCATATTCAATATAACTTTACCATCTAGCAGTCAAAAGTTAAAGATCTTTTCAATTGATTACAATTTCATCTCCTTAGAAAACCAAACTTTCCTTTCTCTGTTCGTCTCTAGTTATTCTGCAGAGAGTTTTTTACGTGAGATGATAACGAAACTAAGTCTTACCCTCAATATTTAAAAAAAAATATTTACTGTTAAACTCATATCATTTTAAGTTGCTAAAATAAGAATTGTCCGAATACTAGAAGAGAATATTTGATCTTGGTTGAGAGTTAAGGTTTACTGCGGTGATATTTCTTTATGCATTTTTTTCCCAAATAATAAATTAATTTGAGTCAAGTGCCATGCTTTCCATTGGCTTGGGGGGAATTTGATTTAGTGACTTGAGCCACTGACCTGGTAAAAAATCTATAGAAACATCTGGTGCTGTGAAATAAAAGACACCAATACAACAAGCACTCATTCCTCCCTCTACCCATGCCTGTAGTAAACCGTATTCATTATTGCCATGTTAAATGATTATACATCTTGAGTTTTTTTCTACTCCCACCCCCAAGAACTTTAGTAATGGATATATACTAACCATATAGAATTCACCTGATTTATGACTATGTTACAAAAGCTGTTGCACATGTAGTAAAAATGCAAAATTTTCCAGCTACCATTAAAATGTATGTGTGCATTATTTTAGTTCTTGCTATGCCACCCATACACAAAAATTATGAAATATTTTGTCATCCTCATACTGTGTAGGAAATGTCATACAGCATACAGATATGCTGAGTTCATACCCATAAGAAAGTTGTCTGTTTGGTTTTTAGCTTCGTGTCTGTGTTTAGATTGTCAATACCAGGTAGTAACAGCAAAAATGGAATGGAAAAGAGACAGAAACCTCCTTTGGGATTTCTACAAATAGTAATATGCACCGATATTGTATAGATGACAGTTGTCACCTTTTATATTGTAAGTCTACTTTTGGTAGTGTGTCAGAAACAAGATAAAGGTCATATTGCTTAAAGCCTTTTATGAGCATAAATGGTAAGGAACAGCGTAGCCTATATATTGGCAAATTAACCCCTGCCATGCTTTAATAATCTGTAAGACATCTTAAGATGAACAAAATGGATCAATAACCTTATTTTTTTCCTTACCATAAATTTATGAGTTGGTATTCTATGATTAATTTATGTGAACATTTCAAAATCATTTTCTTTTTAAATAAAGCTTTGTCTGTCTCAATGTACTACTTACTAAATGCACTTAGGTCCTCCTTTTATGTGATCCTATAAATAGGAGATTACTGATATCCCTAGCTTAAACAGGTAGTGGATCAGTATTAACACCCTTGTAAATGAGTCTAGAGTGAGGAGTAGGGAGGAAGGGGTTACAGGAATTTCTAGCATTATGAATAGTCTAAATGAATTAGATAATTAAAAGACTCCTTGAATATTTCCTAGACATATCTGCAAAAATCTTACAAATGAGGACTATGCATGCCTTAAGCTTAATTGATATACATGAAAATTCTTTTTGCCTGAGAGTCTGAATGTTATGTTTGAAAAGCAAAGGATCACATTATATATTTTGAAAACCCCATCTTGTAAAACAGGACTTTGTTTCCTTTCCCAGAGAATCTTCGGTTTGTCCCAGTGAGCAAAAGGAGCCCGTGAATGTGGCTATAGAATGATCTCTCTTGATCCTTGGACCAAACTGAGGAAAAAGTCTAACAAATGCATCGTTTTGCAGTAAATTAGATCAGATTTCCGCATCTCCGCACTCAGTCTGTGAGCTGACAGTTCAGTAAAATGTTCCCTTGTAAGGTTCGCCCTCTTAGGAAAAGGGGCAATAATTCATCATTAGGATTTCAGAGTCCAGGTGTAGATGGAAACTGATGGAGCCTCCAGCGAGGCAGGGAGAGTGCGTGGAAGAAGAAAATTTTATCTGAAGCCTAATTCCCTGGTTACAGCAGAGAATAATTAAGATAATATTGCTTCAAGAGTCCTTTAATGATTAAAAATCACATATGCAGAATCCATAAATTGGAGGGTAACAAATTGGAAGGCTATAACGTCAGAGAACTGTTTTGTGCACATTATAGTGGAAAGTACACTAGTGGCCGCATGCTGTACGGGCAGCCACCAGAGACCGGGACCATTCCAAGGACTTTGTTTAGATGCAACAAATCATTTGTCTGTTATTAACCCAGAGCTTGTAATTATGCAGATTGCCATAGATTTTCCTGGGCCTGGAAGTGAGATTGAGGGTTGTTCACAGTATAGCAGGCAGCTCAGGGCTGGCCATGCATTACTGAGCTTGCCACATTTATCATGTTGACTGATGGCAGCAGAAGCAGGTCTCAGGTCCCAGTGGTTAATGTAGTGGGTAATTAACTGTCATTTGCCTAGTAATAGGCTGATGATCAATGGTTTGTGTGGAAACAAATTCTAATCAGGTAGCTGATAAATGCTCAGCTAGCGAGAGCAATTGAAATTGGGGGAAACTATGTCCAGAATTTCAAAATGGCATTGTGTGTGTATGTTTATTAGGTATAAGCAAACTGAGTAGTTCTTAAAAACTGCTTTCTCTCAGACTAATCACATTTTATATCCACCAGTGCATCTATATTCACGCAATAAAGAACTTTTAAGATTTCCTTATTTCTCAAAAAAATAATAATAATGAAAGAACAGAAGAAACGAATGGCACATGTAAGTGATGTGACTCCTGAATAGATCACGTGAAGTACGCTGAAAAGTAAACGTGAAATGTTAGAATGAACAAAAAAAATTCTTCTGACAAAAGAATAGGATGAAAGCTGTAGTTCGTGATGATTTTATTTTTAATGATGCCAGTAGGAGATGTGAGATATTATATTTCCAATGAGTTTCTTTTTAAAGAAAAATTATTTTCCAAAATAGGGATTGTAAACTGAGAACAGAAAGGTTATTAGAGTAATATTCCTTAAAATAAGTATATTAAAACATTTTAAACATTCTTTCAGGAAAATAAGTGTCTAACACTTTTTAATTTAGTCATTTTGAATACAAGCCTTGCTTACTTTTTATCAAGTGCACAGATTATACTTAGCAAACTGAAAAGCATAGTTTCTACCCTCAAGGAGCTTAAGTTCTTCAAGAGACAATCTAACAAAAACGTAAGCATAAACATTTATTACGAGTTTTGCCAAATATTTAGAAGCCATTCTCACAACTCTCTCCAACATTTGTCATTAGCCTGGTAATAGGAAATAGTTATAAACTTGAAAATTAATATGAACGCCTTAAGCAAAGATCTATCTTTGGAGTATATAGAAAGTAATAAGAGAAACTTAAGCACATTTGTGTGTAATCCTTAAATTCAATAAAATGAAAGGCTAAGATTTTTTAAAGTACATTTTTATAACTAAAATGAGTTTTCTCTATAGCACCTTTGAATTCATTAGTTTAGAACTGCTTTTAATTTGGTCTTTCCCATGAGAGCCATTATATTTTTCTCCTGTCAGCCTGATGCTGGAGAAAAAAGAAAACTGGCAGATGTGGTGTGTTTCATCTAGTTTGCTTCCTAGTTAAAAAATACATTAACTACTATGCACAGAATATTATTTGTAATAACTCTTCACCACCATTAACAATTTTAAAGAAACTTGGTTTAAATATTGCCAGTGCAAATGGATAAAATATTTTATTTGCTTCCATTATGAAACCATGGAGATATTTTATGTTGTACTATATTTTAGGTCATTACAATAACTATTTGCAGAAATCTACAGCAAATAGGATTTTTTAAAAATACCTTTTTCCCAGACAATTCCAGTGGTTCTTACAGTATATTATGTTTCTATTCCTGATCTAGCTATATATAGTTTACAGTCTCATTTACTTTAATGTGCTACCTGAATAACATAATCATAGCTATAACTATGGTATAGAGCCATAAGGTACATGCACCTTTAATGTTTTTTGACTATTTAAATGGTTTGTTCATAAATTTTCTTTTATTAATAATGGCAAACCTTTTAGTAACTAGATGTCAAAAAACAATGAGTCATTCAAATGTTTTTTTTCCCCCAATTATAATGTTTAATATGTGGTATTAAGACCAAACTTGCATTGTTTTTATATTTACTGCATATTCTAACAAGTAAAACATTTTTGCTGTGGATTCACCCCTGTTGACTTCTGTTTGTATAAGCTTCTCATTGTATTTGTCTTTTTCTTTTCTTCTCAAACAAGATGTGATTCTCATCAAGAAAGGTCAACTGTGTATGTATTACCGAAGAATATTTATGTATACACCTAGGATAAAACTCACTTGAGTACATTACAAGGCATTGTGTATTGATATCTTTACAAAGTGCATTAGCGTCTTCTCTAGTCACCATCTCAGATTTCCTTGTAAGAGTTTGAAAAAAATGTTTATTGTTCTAGGCTCTTTGGTGTAACGGGAAACTGTGCAGCCTGTAGTAAGCTCATCCCTGCCTTTGAGATGGTGATGCGCGCCAAGGACAATGTGTACCACCTGGACTGCTTTGCATGTCAGCTTTGTAATCAGAGGTATGTGGATTTCATTTTGGCTTCTGAAAATGGTAAAAGTCTCTTTGCTGGCTATTTATTTAATAGGTGGGAATTATATTAGTACATTTTACTTAAAGCAATTAATCTCACCCTTTTTATTGTCTGCAAATGTTCATTCAGTGCCAGAAATGAACCACTGAAGAGAAAGATCTTAAAACTGTACTTGTACTTGAAAGAAATGCACATGTAATAGGATGTGATAAGAAATGAAAACTTTTCTATAAACTTTTAGTCTTGTTATTATTCATTCTTTTCTTTATTGTTTTTCTGTCTTTTAAAATGTAGGTTTAAAATGCTTTTGTTTTGTACTGCTTCTGTTAGCAAACGAACTTGCACCAAGGCGAGTATATAGGAATTTGTGGAAGGCAATGTGTATTCATCTTATTTTTCATGTTCGTAGTTGCCCTATCTCTTCATTTCTTATCTTGAATTTTAACCTTGTTTTATAGGTAGTTTTTAAGTTGCTTCAAGTTTCTTTAGGAATGAGGCTGGACATACTAATTATCAAGAATCAACATTTGAGAGGCAACATTGGAGAATAGAAAGAGTATTCCACAGAAAATCTAAATACCTAAATTCCAGTCTGGACTTTGCCCCTAAAAGATGTATGACCATAAACCAACAATATTAACTCTTGGGACCTCAGTTTTCTCATTTATAACATACGGGAACTTAGTCAATCTCAGAGAAATCTTTCATATCAAATTATTATGACTTCATCTCATTTTTCCTTGTTGAAAGTTATAACTTTTATTTCAAGTGGGAACTATATACTACTGGTACCTGTTTTATGTGAGAGATACAGAGGATATTAGAATATTAAAATATACAGATTATTAAAAATACATTTCAAAAATTAGTATACTTGATAAATTTAATAAAATAAATCCCATGTGAATATGAAAACACTTGGACATAGTATATAATAGGTACATATTAGTTGTGTCAAGTTCTTAGTTATTGTAATTTGCTCTGTTTTGCTGTTCAATGCAGCATCTTTTTATGAGGCCCTGTAGAATAGTAGAAAAAATATATTTACAGTGAGAACTGTATTAAGATTCCAATGCGATTGTATGTTACTTCATCTCTCTGATTTTAGTTTCCACACTCATAAAATAAAGACACTAATACCTATCTTGCAGATTTTGAAAATTAAATGAAATAATTTATGTTAACTACCAAAAACATAATAAGTTCTCAAATATTAGTTCTTTTACCTTGATACATATTTTAATTTTATGAAATTATATTTGTAAATTATATTGTGTAAAAACTTGGTTTTTACATAAGATATATATCTCAATAATGTCTCCCGCTAAATGTAGATATTCAGAATGTGGTTCTATAGCTTGCAATGTATAATTTACTCAGAAAATGATTCAAGAAGTTATCACACAACATCTTGAGTCTTCCCAATAAATGCTTGAAACCAACGTAGCTTAATTCAGCCTATGGTGACATTTAACCAAACATAAACTGGCAAAAATGCATGTGTCGTTTATTGTAAGGACATGGATTAACAAACACAAATATCCACACATCCATACAGACATATTTATATGCATTTGTCCATGTATGTGTATACATTTTAAAGTGTATTAGTAGTAAAGTTAAAAAACTTCTGCTTATTTATCACATTGATACACTAATCGCATCCATTAACAATATAGTTGTCTTTATGCAATAATAACATTTACTGCTTTTCTACTTATAAAAGGTTACATATTTATAATAGAAAATTTTAAAAATACGAGGGATAAAGAATAACATTGTCTTATGTCTCACTATTCTCTCACTATTTCAAAAGAAAATGTTTTAATATTTTGGTGTGTAGCCAGACATATGTTTTTTGCATACATATATAACAAATGATACATAGCATATATTTTATATCCACATTTAAGCAGCTTAAAAAAAAGTAACAGTGGAGAATCCTAATGTTTGATATTTAGACATTTTAATTTAACATACTGTGCCTTTTTACCTGCCTTTAAAAATTATTTTGAGATTTTAATTTACTTGTGTTCAGTTTTATAGATAGAGCTTCATATATGATATCATCAGATGTATAGGTTGTTTCTTCAAGTTTTTATATTATCAATATTATCAGTGTAATATGGATTTTATAAACAAACAAATACTGAAATCTGTGTCAGAATAAATTCACAGGAGCAAAAATTAATTAGACAAAGTATATAACAGTTTAAAGGCTTGTGTTATATATTACGGAATGCTCTCTAGAAAATTATTCCAATTATACTCACACCAGAAATGTAAAAACTATTCTTTCCCTCATATTGACTCTAACACTGGGAATTATTTTGTTTTAATCCTTAAAAGATGAAAGAGGGTATCTCATTTTAATTTTTAATTAGCATTCATTTGCTTACTTGTAGCCCTTTGCTAATTCTTCTTTTAGGGAACTGGCTGTTTATGCCCTTTGTCCATTCTTCTATCAGGGCAGACTTACCTATCTTATTCATGTTCTACACAGAAAATTAAAACATCATTCAAGTACTAAACCCAGCCTAAATTCTATTATGATGCAAAGTAATTGTAGGTTGTTAATGCTATTTACCTATCGTATATCACTTTTATTTCACCATTGAAATAAAAAGTTGCACTCACAATTAAGTCTCTCTCCCCAATAGAACTCAGTCAAGTAAGACAAACACTCCTAAATTTTGGCTCTAAAACTGTTCACATTCTTATTGCTGCAAAATACTATTCTAGTATCATTATTAAAGTACCTAATATATTTCTGTGTTCACTTCATTTATTATATGCCATAATGGGACTGCATATCTTTAGTGCTGGTTATGCACAATTAGCACTTAGTTATTGTCTTGTCACTTCAGCCCCTACAAGACAAACTTCTTTAATGCAGGAAGTCAGCTAATCTTCATCAGCCAAGCAAAGGAGACAAATTTTGTTACTCTTAATACAGAAGGTTTTCAATATAGGAGATTCTGCTTTTACTTTGACATTTCCTTAAGAAATCCTCTCCAATAAAGCCATATGCCACATGAGCCTATACTTTCAGTACCCAAATCATTGTCATAGGATTGTACCTTTTCCGATAAAACACAAGACAAATAGATAATTTATAGGTACATTCCCTTAAGCAAACTTTATTGACATCTGAAATTGTGGTATCATACATGCTTATGAATTTTATTTAGCAGTTATTTCATCTTAACTTTTAAATCAATTAATATTATAAATATTTCTGAATGTTCAAAAAATAGTAGTAATAATCACCTATCAGGATTGGCTGTCCATTGTATATACTCTCTCTGTCCCTTTCAGGGGGTATAGCTAAGAATGTGAGTCCTGAATTAAAAATCTAAAAGTTTTATTTTGAAAGGAAATCCAAGGAAAGTTATTTTGAGCATCTTATCTAATAACTTGCATCTCATTCAGAATTGAAAAATTCTATGTAACTGATTAATTTCTTAAAGGCGAATAAACCTCTCCCCTTAGAAAATTCTGTAAAACTAAATGATGTTTTTATAAGAAAAGGAAGACATGCTTGTTTGTAATGAAATTGGCTCAAATATGTAGAATTGTATAATGTTTCATTTTCTTTTATTAAAGATTAGAAGCACTGTTCTAGGCTCTGTAGGAATGGAGGGGAATAAAATCCAGTTTCTCCTTAGAGACAGGACATCAAAGCCTCAAAAGGGGGTGTAATTGATTCTAAACAGATCCATAGCAAGGGAAGAGAGGTCAGTCCTGGATGTCTTGGGGAAGCAGCAGAAGCTCGATGTGCTAGGTTTTAAAAAAGAACTCCCTAGGACTGGTTAGGATATAGGAAGTGTGTCTGGTGGGGGAGTTGGGGAGATGACGAAGACAGGAACCACAGAAGAAAGGGATTCCCAGACAGATGGAGCAGCATGTAAGGCATGGAGGTGTGAAAGCATCTGCTGTGTTCAGGAAATAAAAAATAGCTTAGTGTGCTCAAGATTAGACTGGGAGTTTGGTAGGGATATGGAAGAGTAAGGCATGGAGTGAAGAATAGGAGATGAAATTGTAAAGGTGAGAAGTCAATGACTGAAAGTCAAAATGAATACAAATTAAAATTGTTCCATTAAATAACAAAATACCTTTGTTATTTAAAGCTAATTGATTCTGGAATGAATCCATCTTAACGAATGTATATTGACCACTCATCTCAAGTGGTAGTACAATTTATGATGGTATTTCAACTCATAATCATTTACCTCAGCACTGCTGTCCAGATTGAGAAACTTGTTATACCCTCATGAGAAAATTTAAAATGCCAAAGTAAATGATACACTAATAAATAAGTGCTTTGGGAAAGATTGGAATGAGTTGATGTGGTCAGGGAACACTGTTGGAAGGAATGTAAACTAAAGAATTTTTGGAATTTAAGTAGATGAAAAAAGGAGAAAAATCTCTCTAGCGAGGGATATTTTAAGCAATGATGAAAAGATTACCATTGGCAAATAATAATGATAGCAAATTCTTATATACTGTTGGTTATATACAGACAGACTTTGTTCTGTCTTACATATACTAACTCATTTAACACTCAATATAACTCATAAGTAGGTACTATTATTAACCTCATTTTACGCATGAGGAAATTGAAGTACAGAAAGTTTAAGAAATTTATCCAAGATTACATGGTTAGAAAAAGATAGACACATGATTTGAATCCCCATAGTTTGGTTTTAGTCTCTGGACTCAGAGCCTGGCCTGTTTCAAGAGGGATATTTTATTTTTCTGGCTAAGTGGATATAAATGGAAAGAGATATAGTGGAGTTATAGTAAGATAGACTTGAATAATGTCTGGCAGGACTTGGGGTATTTATAGTGTAATTTAGGGCAGAAAAGATTGTTAGGAATGAAGTGTGTAATGACAACTGAGCTGTCATTGGAAAAAGAAGATATATTTGTCCATAAGTATATAATGATGGGATATTAAGTATATAAACTGCATATATAAACTGCACCTCTTACCGAAAACAAAGTACAGTATAAAAATCTCCATCTTTTAGTAACCAAGTATCTTAAATATGAAGGTAGAGACATTGGAAATATGGATTAGATCCCCCTCTCTTTTTAAAATATTGCAGAAGTAGAAATTAATTGTAATTGACAGTCACTAACTTTAGGAAAATAAGATCACTAAGTTAACATTTTCATTCTTTAGAAAAGATGTTACAAATGGAGGCTTTTTAGTAGAGGCTTTTGATAACCCGCTCAAAACTACTCTAAGCCCATATTTTATAGAGATGATTTATTAATTATAGTTATTTTCTATACTTTTCAAGTTGCTAAGGCCATATGAATTCAACTAGAATCCCTTCAAAATATCTGGAAATTAAATCTATTATTACTTTCAAAACACTATGACTAGATGATTTAAAAATATGATTATCTTTTTATTCCTTAACATATTATTTTTGAAATAAAGGCAAAATTAATTGAACTGACTATACTGCAAGTAATTAGAATTAGATTACAAGGAAGATTATCAGTTTATTTTCAGGAATTTTAGCACTATCTCTTAATATACTAACAGTATCTTCCGGTCATCACTGCTTTTAAAATATTTTTTCTACAAGTGCTATATCTCATAAGGAGCTAGTTATATAACATTGGAAATTAGCCTCTTATAAAACTCAGTTGTAGATTTTAAGTGTCTGATATGTGCATTGCTGTTTCTCTAATTCATGTTTATATATGCTGCATTTTAAAGGAGAATACTAATTCCAATTGCATACCAACATAATCTGCTCTTAACCATAGCTTTCAAGGCTGTTTTGAGTTACATATGTAAGTGTGACATTCCTCACCCATGCTCTGTTACATCTTGACTTTTAAGTATAAATTGAAATGCACAGAAAATGTACTTTATCCAGTTGGCAATATATTAGTAACAAAATATTCAGGTAGAAATATTTTAGATGAATTCTATTTATATTACCAACATCTCATTGAATGGTAGGCAAACTTTTTTAAAGTATGAAAAGGAATAACAGTAACACAAAAATACCTGTATAACTTTGTAGTCTCATGCTTTACTGCCTCCAGGTAAAAGCATGGGTCTTGAATCCAAAGAAACCTGGTTCTTTTCCTTCCTCTACCACAGACCTTCTAGCCATGGAAACTTGGGCAGGTTTTTTAAATTCTTGTAGGAAACCTTAGGTTTTTCATCTGAAAAAGGCAATGATAATGTCTATGTTTTAGGTTGAATGGAAAGAATAATATGATAATATATATACGTACATTATATATATGCGTGTGTGTGTGTGTGTGTATATATATATAAATTAACATTAGCATTTGGTAAGTATTTTATTAAAAGGTAGCTATTTTAATTACATACATTCCAAACATTGAGGTAAAGCTTTACATATTTTATTTCTACTCTTTACCACAAACTTACGAAAGTGACTGATACTACCGAAAAGAAAAACTGAAGTTTCACCTAACTAAAGTGGAAAGTTGAGATTTGAATCCTATTCATCGTAATATGCCTCTCTACCTTTCATATATTTCTTATTTTAACATCCCTACAATCCAATGATATAGTTGTTTTATCTTACCCACAGAAAACTGACTTAGAGAAAGTTTGAAAGGTATCTTATATCCTGCAGTGGGTGGGTAAAAGCAGTAGGTCTCAGGACTGGATTCCTGGGCTTTTGGTTCAATGCTTTTCTCATTATTAAGTACCCAGAATTTATTAATCTATAAATAAAAATTATCTAAATTTTAAGGTCTCTGAAGGTAAGAATAATGACATGATGTGACAAAAACCATCATATTTTTATTTGATAACAAATAGAATTTTGGAGATTGATAAAAATTACGTTGAAAAAATTAAGTAAAATTTTAGACAATATAGAGTTGAAAGTAGTTCCAGTTTAGTTGGTTTTTAGCAAAAAAAATTCAGTAATATCAGTTGGAACACAAGTGTGTTTTATTAAATTTATTTTTGATATGATATTTTATTATTAGCTTTAGTTCAAATTAATTTAAATAGTAATATAAGTTGAAAAATTTTGAACAATAATCAAATCTATTCTACATGATATTTTATATAATCTCACAAAAGATGAGCATGTAATTTGGCTATAAGGCCTGTCCAACAAAAGACATATTTTCTTTTATTCAGCATACCTTAGTATCATGATTATCCGCAAAAACTGATTTATTCAAATACCATTTTTTAAGCACGGCGTTTAAAGTTTATAGTTTACAACCATTAAAAAGAAGATGTACTTAAAGTCTAAACTTGAATGTTCATTGTATCCAATAGCCTTGACCACAAACCACTCTAGGATTTCAAGATCAGCACATAGTCTCTACTTTCAATCAACATCATCAGCAGGCAGTAATCCTGGGAAAAAAAAGTAAATTCCACAAATAAACAGACCAATCTTCTTTAAGAGGAAGGCTAATTCTTTTCAATCTACTTTTTTTATTACACCATTTTTCCCTCTATCTACTTAGCTAGAATAAGGATAAATTTCCAAAGCTACCCGGTTGGAAAATAAATAGGTTCACTGTTTGTCTAGCATTCCAATCTTTGCAAATGTAAATCAGTCCAACTGCTCCTCATTTAAACTTTCAACTTCACAAAACATTAAGGGTGGCTTTCACTACACAATTTAATCTACCCACTAAGATTTCTGCTTGAACATCATTTGAAATTGACTATCTGATAAAGAGAGACCACTATCAAAGGTCGGTGAGGTCAACGTGTATAATTACAAGTAGTTTAACTGGGTCAACTCTACCAGACGCTGCTGTTTGAAGGTTAAATTATTACAATTAAAAATATATACAACTCTCCCCAGAGTTACTTTATTGTTAAATGTACTGAAAACAGCACAAGCATTTATTTCTGACCTTAATTCCGTCCAACGTGTCACCACTGGGAAATTATACCAAAAGAGCACTTATTAAAAACATTACTGTCTTGCATATTAAACAATGCTTCATAGAATAAAATAATAATTAGCTACTGGAAACTAGTTTATTTATCACATAAATATTAAGAAGTTTGTTCAGGTTACTCTTTGGTTTAATTGGAAGTGCTCTAAGAAATGACATTTATAATTTTATAGTTGGTGAACTTGCCACAAACAAAGGAATATGGTCCAGCAGAGTCTGGTGCTAAAACAGCTTTCAAATTACTAGAATTTAGTCACATTTTAATAACGGAATAAAAGGAAGCTTTAAAATGGGCTATTTTCTACTCGTTTGATTCATTTTAACGTATTTTACTTTTTTATATAAAGTAGATAAATGGCCAATGATGAAATCTTCCATAATCACTGTAGTGAAATGTTATTATCATTCTTTCTTATTTTAATGAGTGTGTATATAGATCAGTTTTTTTTTTTTCTTTACAATGTGGTTAAAAAAAAAAAGTCACTTTTGCTGCCCTATGTATTTTCTTCAATGTTCCTTTGATTTTTTATAGATTAAGGTTGGTTTAGTGTTGACAATAAAGACAACTTTCTAAGCCAAGTTTTCAAATCAGGTAATTACTATTAGGAAAAGAAATCTTCAAATCTATAGATCTGAGTGAAATGTTCTTAACATGTTTTATTTTATTTTATTTTTTAATATTTTCAGATTTTGTGTTGGAGATAAATTTTTTCTAAAGAATAACATGATCCTTTGCCAGACGGACTACGAGGAAGGTTTAATGAAAGAAGGTTATGCACCCCAGGTTCGCTGATCTCTCAACATCACCCCATTAAGAATATGAAGCACTACATTCTTTTATCTTTTTTGCTCCACATGTATATAAGAATTGACACAGAAACTTACTGGATAGCGTAGATATAGGAAAGCAGGATGGTTATATGGAATAAAAGGCGGACTGCATCTGTATGTAGTGAAATTGCCCCAGTTCAGAGTTGAATGTTTATTATTAAAGAAAAAAAGTAATGTACATATTGCTGGATTTTTTTGCTTGCTATTCGTTTTTGTGTCACTTGGCATGAGATGTTTATTTTGGACTATTGTATATAATGTATTGTAATATTTGAAGCACAAATGTAATACAGTTTTATTGTGTTACCATTTGTGTTCTGTTTGCTTCTTTGTATTGTTGCATTTAGTACAATCAGTGTTTAAACTTACTGTATATTTATGCTTTCTGTATCTACCAGCTATTTTAAATGAGCTGTAACTTTCTAGTAAAAAATTGAAGCCCAAATCTCACTAATGATACACATATAGATAAAGCAAGTCTATCAACATTAAAAATACTAAAAAAAAAAAAAAAAGACACACACAAAGCATTTTAACAACATCCACTATTATTGCCACTATGATTTAGAGTCTACCGGTGTTCTCATTATAACCCCCTATTTTCAGGGGGTTAAGATCAGCTTTAAAAAAATGCATAAAAATTTCATCTTAAAGCACTTTCATTTTATACCAACATGAAAAGTGCCATTTTTAGAATAACTTTAAAGCTTAACAGTTATCCTTTTAATATCTTTTGTGCGTGTGTACATATGTGTATGTGTGTATGTGTTCTTTACCTATATAATGGCTTTGGGTTTTTCATTTGTTTTTGTTTTTGTTTTTGTTTTAGTCAGCCATTCACCCCTTATGTAAACTCGTGCCTTTGGGTATCATGTAAATTTTTTCCAAAGGGTTACTTTAAAAAGTGTTGCCACAATTATGAGATAATTTTAAAATGATAAATTTCTTGTATAAATTTTGCCCAGATCTCTCCATAAAAGTTAAGAGGTAATAACTTTATGGCTTGATAAATTTCTGGCACTAAAAGGAGTTGAGTGTGAATCTACTGAAACCATAATGCACATTGAAGCTATGATGATAATTGAGTAGAGAAGTTACTTTTGATTAGAGCAACATAGTACTTATAGAGAATCTTCTAGAAGGAGAGAAACAAAGGGATTGGTAAAAAGCCGAGAACTGGTGATTATATATTTTTCTGTATTTACCTGCCACTTATTTTAATGTTAAAAAGTTAACACTTTAAAAGTTCAACGTGTCTTACTCTATTGCTTTAAGTAATTACCCACTCAGAATATATCACTTAGGCTGAAATCTGTCATTCCATTTTTTAAAGGTGAAATATTTCCTTACCTACATGATAGCTGATAAAGAAGAAAACTTTCCAGACACAGAAATTATGGAGACTGATTATTTAAATTACAATTTAAGAAATAAAAATGAGTCTATAACCCATCTTCTGGGTTGCTCATAGTTTGCTTCTTTGCTTCTGTTCCCTGTACTAGAACTACTTTCCAACAAATCTAATTCCACACAGGCACAATGAAGCATATTTTAACTAGAGCAAATTTAGTGCTGTGGTTTTTCTTTATTATTTATTTTTTTCCTGATCACTTGTATAGGAAACAATATTTCCTAGTATTATTTGCACACATATTTGGTCCTGCCAGTACATATATATTGCAGATGAAAATTAAATGTGATACCTGAATTCTTGGTTTGGGGCCAAAATATTAAGCTGCAAATAATGCTGACGTGGATTCGAGTTGTTTTAAAACAAAGCTTTATTATGGACATGCATGTGAATCTGGATATTGCCTCTTATTTTTAAGAAAATAATTCTGTGAAAAGTGAATGATATGTATTTTTTACAAATGCTTCATGGTTAAGAATGTTCAAGTCATGTGTCCTTCAAATTTGAAATACATGGAAAAAAGAATTTCAAAAATAGGTATTTGGAGCCTATAAAATAACTATTATTTTAGCCTTAGGCCTTACATTTGTTTCATGAAAAGACTTGCATAGCCAAAACCAAAAACAAACAAAAAACAGAACAAATGGGGGAGGAGAGATAGTGAGAAGTGTTTTTCATAATTCCGTAGCCCTGCTAGTACCCATTAAGAGTAGCTTGAGATTCATGTGGATGTACAATTTTAATTGTCGGTATCTTTTTCAAATGACCTTTTAAAGATTATTTAAATGGTTTTGCATATGTTAAGATCAATATGTCAAAATACCTGTAAACTGGAAACAAACTGTTCAACTATTCAACTGTTCTTGCCGCCCAAAGACCAAACAACGTTTTTACTGCCTTTTCTTTTGCTTAATCCTTGGGGAGTTAATTCTTATGCTCTTCCTACAAACAAAATTACTCATCTAGATTAAGGCCTTAATCTCCTTAGATTATCTTTCATCTCTATGAAATTGTGAAACAAGACAGCAAAAGGCCGTTTATAGCTAATTGCCCATTAAATAGTAGCATTTTTGACCTGAAGTACTGAGCTAATTGTCTTGCCTATTCAAAGTCCCTGAATTGTTGTCAACTTTCCTCTTTTGTGTTGTGTAGCCCTGATGTCACTTAGCTTGTTATCCAATGCCTCCAGTAGGACACCTCTGCTGGAGCTTTGATTTCTCAAGCAGGGAAAGCTCACTTTCTAACATGCATCTCACATGGGCTGCCTCTGATGAAGGCCCAGGCACCTCCTGTCCACCAGAATGCTGGCTGAGTTGAAAAGCTGACCTGTGTTTGTAATTTCACTTTCATCTTGCTTAATAAATATCTGCTGGATTCTTTCATTCATTTTTACATTTGGATTTATGTTTTTAATAAAAGGGGTATTACACTGTTTGATTGCTCTTAATTGGCAAAATCTAAGGTGATATCTAGAAAGCATACATTAAGTTCATGTAAAAGGAAAAAAGTATATAAGGACATTTACTTTTAAAAGGTAAATCATAAGTGTAGACAAAGTGCCTCAAATGCTTTCTCTAAATGTTATATGTGGGATCTCTGAGCTAGATAGTTTACTGTTATTTACTTTTGTGGGGAAAATAAAACTGTCAAAAATGAAGGTAGTGATTACTGGGTATAATTTCGTACATATATACAAATTTTAAGTGATCTTTCTGAAAGCAACTGTGTTGTCAGACTAAATTTCGAATTTCCTCTTTTCTGTACAATGAATGAAAACAAAAAACTCAACTAAAACCTACATTTTCTAGGAAAAGGTGGTGTACCTTAACTGAAACATGGTACTGAAAATTATATCTGTTGTAAAACATACTGTATATAAGCAGTTTCCTTTTAACTATCAATTAAGCAAACCACCTTCTAAATAGTCACTTAAACAATTTCATAGAAATGATATAGGCCAAACACACTTACTGTTCACTTCAGTCAGTTGCAAAAACAATCTTTATGTTTACTGTAATAGACCATTAGCACAGAATACAGTATTAGCAAAAGCCTTTTGACTATTACTTTTCCTTAAAAACACCATTATAGATATTTCTTAAATATGACTTTAATGCAATTTAAGGTAATAGAAAGCAAAGCTTTAATATAGTCACGATTTCAATTGACATTTACTGAGAAATTGCTATGTGACAGGTCTTGCCCTGAGCCCTCAGCCTCCTGTCGGGCAGACTTAGAATACTTCAGACATTAGATGACTTTAAGTTGTCTTTGCACTGGTTTGTACTCATCTCAAACCCACTAATAACGAGCATATTAAAGCGAATATGATCTTCTACCTATTCAGCATTTCATTGATATGAAAGCCCCAGAAAATATCTCAAGTAATCAATGTGTTCAGAGAATTATCGCACACAAATTACTCATTAACTCAATAGCACATAATAAAAAAGAACATCAATTAATTAATGAGTCACCCTCAGATCACTGTGATTACAATAGAGCTCTGTTGAAACAGCAGTTATAAATGGAGCTGCCTCTCTTTATTCATTGTTTGCAATTGGCCCATTATTTGGCTGAAACTAGTGTCATATTTAATACATGCCTGTAGGTAATTGTGTGATTAGTATCATAAATGAAGAATTTAGAAAGTTGATTGCTTATAAGACCTTATAAATTGGTAGGAAAATAAAGAAAACTCACATTTTTACTATAGCTTTTTTGAAGCCAAGCTATTAGAAGGTATTATCTATCTAAACATTATAAGGATTAGCTGCTAAAACATTAAAAGTAAATTTTATAATGCTTTAGAATACACATATTTTGATTTCAGTAACTTTTTCATAGACTAAAATAGACATGACCAGTGTTGTAACCATTTGGATACCCCATTAGGAACAGGACTAGTTGGGGAGGATGTGTGAAGATTGACTGCAATAAGGGAAGAGGTTAAAAGAAATACCAAACATTACATACAAAGTCATCAACTAAAGTTTCCCAACTATCTCAGTAAATGCCATTCCAATAAGCTTATAGAATAATTATAACAGTTCCCTTAGGTAAGTCAGAAACATCTGTTGGTAACACATAGCAGGTGTTAACAATTACACATACTGAAATTTTTAAAAATGTTCTTAATTAAAAGAATTCTTGTTTTCTGAAAAAGAAAATATGTTAAATTCAAAGATACTCCTGTTTTGAGTGTGCAGATCACGTAATGCACAAAATTGTAAAGCCCAAATCATCTTGGATCAACTAGGTTTTGTGTTTGGTTCAGATCATTGCAATCAAATGTGAATTAGAATTCATTGCACTTTTTGCACAATTGGTGCTCTGGGCTGAGGAGCTGCATACTCATGAAATTGTATAGCAGAACTGAGTACAGAATATTTGAGCTTTATTAGAAAGGTGGTTGCCGTTAACTATACCAAATTTAATGGACACAGTACAAAGAAAAATGGTAGCAAGAGACATCAGATAATAGATGATCAAAATCTTTCTTAACCCTGTCAAAGATGTTAAATCACCTAAAATAAAACAGTCCATTTGCAACATGTAACATTATCATATGACTCATCTTCAACAGCTTTTAATAATAACTAACACTTACTGAACTCTTACCATATATCGGATAGTTTTCCATGCCCATATAATTTCCACAACACCCTTTACAGATTTTAAATAAAAGCACAAAGAGGTTACTTAAGTTGCCCTAGGTCATAGAGCTAGTTAAATAGTGGACTGAGATTTAAACATAGGCTTTCTGGCTCTGGGGCTTAGCCACTGTTAAAGGGTTGTTGTTGTTGTTGTTGTTATTTATTATTATTATTATGTGAATTATTATTTTTTAGCCAAGAACTAGAAGTTACCTGTGCTTGAGCAAAAGTTCCGAATATTTTGGAGTTAATGTCATCTTTAAAGATGAAAATTGGGAATGAGAGTGATCATAA